GAACATTATTACAGATGAGATCTAAGAGTATATTAAGGGTAACTTTGCACTAATAACTTTGAAAACAGATGCAAAGGATAAATTCTTAGGAAGTACAACTCATCAAAATAAATTCAAAGGGGCTGGGGCTGTAGCTCGGAGGTAGAGTGCTTGCCTAGCTTACTCAGGCAAAAATCAACGACAACTAAAAAATAAATAAATAAATAGAAATTTAAAGTTCAAGAAGTAAAAAAAAACCTGAACAATCCTAGAACCATTAAAGATATTCAATATCAAAAGTCAATCTTCACATAAAAAAAGGAACAGGCCTGACAGCCTTACAGACAAGTTCCACCAAACATTCGGGCAACAGATCATTCCCACCTTATGCAAACTCTTCTAGAAACAGTTCACTTAGCAAGACAAACAGCACCAATACCAGAATGATSAGAAGGAGAAATCAGCAGATAAATCTCATTCACAAACTTGGGTGTAAAACTATTGTACAGAAAAGTTCTATCAGGTTCGTGTTTACGGGACGTGGGGATGGAGCCCAGGCCTCCTGTATGCGAGGCAGGCGCTCCACTGAGCCACACCCCCAGCTCTTATTCTTTTTTTGATATATTTTCGTTGTCAATGGATCTTTCATTTATTTATTTATTTATTTATATGTGATGCTGAGGGTGGAACCCAGGGCCTCACRCATGCCAGGCAAGTGCTCTACCACTGAGCCACGACCCCAGCCCCCTGGCTCTTAATCTTGAGCAGAACTTCTCATAAATCTATAAGGATTAAATCAATGTGTTATTGGCATGAGGACAGGCCAAGAGACAGAAAGGTGAGCCCGGAAACAGCCCCATGATGCGWGCGAACTTGAGGATGGCACTAGCACTGCAAGGAAGGGCGGGCCTTCTCAGCCACCATGCTTACGAATTTGGGGAAAAACTGAAGTGGAATTCCTGCAAGAGAAGAATGCTTCAGAAGAGAGGGTGGAAGAGAGGGGGGCGGGCTATGCCCAGAGTGCTGGAGGGTGCAGGAGGGTGCAGGGCAGGAGGACGGAGCAGCCCAGCCCTGGATTTGGTAAAGCCAAAGCTGTCAGGAAGGAAGCGGCGTGTGGCAATTCTTGAGCAACTTTTCTTTGAAGGAGAGCAGAGACTTGGCAGCAAGAAAGTAGGGTCAAGGGGCTGGGGCTGCAGCTCAGTGTCGGAGCCCTTGCCCGGCATGTGTGAGGCACTGGGTTCAATCCTCAGCACCAATAAAAATAAATAATGGCACTGTGTCCATCTACAACTACAAAATAAGTTAAAGGAAGGAAGGAAGGAAGGAAGGAAAGAAAGAAGGGTCAAGAGAGGGTCACTTTCTTTTAATACAAGGGATTCTCCACAACAACCCAGCAGTGAAAGGTGAGGAACAAAGGAACAAAACACTTTCCTGGGGGAGGGGGAAGGGTTCTGCCGCTGTCCCAGCGGGGCGGCAGTGCAGACCTGCACAGGTACACACAGGCGGATGAGGGGGGGTTGCTGGAGGTAGGAATATGGGGAGCTGTCCTGGTGATGAGGTCTCTTTTCAAGAAAGGCCAGGTCCACAATGAGAGGAAGGCGGAGGAGGCTGAGAGTGGGAATGTGGCTCGCTCACGATGGCCCGGCTGGGGCTGTGCAAAGTACTCATTTGAGGTTTGTGGCTGTGGATTTACAGGGAAAACACCACCTCAGTTGTGTGATTTCTCTCCAGCCCCATCAGTGGCTCTGTGCCAGTCAGAGCCAGGTTCAGCTGCGACTGTGCTTATGCCAGGCAACAGAAACCGAAGGAGAGAGAGACTGGGAAACTGTAGGGACAAGATGGAAATGACGACTACACCCTGGGTAAGGAGAGAAGGAAAGGTGGGAGATGAAGACAGTGCCAAAATGGTGGGCTGGGAAGGAAACRGGCCAGTGTGGCCATTCCTGAACAATTTTGCTTCAAAGAGGAACAGGGACACAGTGGCAAGGAAGTTGGGTCAAGAGAGGGTCCCTTGGTGGGTTCACAGGAAGATGGAAGGGCCACCCATGTTCATGGATAGGCAGAATTAACATTGTTAAAATGGCCACACCACCGAAAGCCATATACAGATTCAATGCAATCCCTATCAAAATACCAATGACAGACTTTACAGAATTAGAAAAAAAGCAGTCCTAAAATTTATTTGGAAGAATAAAAGACTCAAAATAGCCAAAGCAAATTCTAAGCCAAAAAAGCAATGCTAGAGGCATCACAATACCTGACTTCAAATTATACCACAGAACTATAGTAAAAAACAAGCAAACAAAAGAAACCCGTGCAGGTACCGGCATAAAAACAGACACACAGGTACAGAATAGAAGGCACAGAGACAAACCCACACATCTACAGCCATCTGATCCTCGACCGAGGTACCAAAAACATACACTGGAGAAAAGACAGCCACAATGGTGCTGGGGAAACCGGTTATCCATAGGTAGAAGAATGAGACCAGACCCTGCACAAAAATGAACAAACTGGATCAAAGACCCCAGAGTTAGACAAGAAACTATGCAACTCCTAGAAGAGAATGTAGGCTCAGCCCTCCAGCATATCGACATAGGCAAAGACTTTCTCAGTAGGACCCTAAAGCCCAGGAAATTAATGCTAAGAGTTAATAAAGGGCATGGCATCCAATTAGAAAGCTTCTGCACAGCAAAGGAAACAAGAATGTAGAGAGAGGGCTGCGGTTGTAGCTCAGTGGTAGATCACTTGCCTGGCATGTGTGAGGCCCTGGGTTTGAATCTCAGCACCACATCAAAATAAATAAATAAAGATATTGTGTCCATCTACAACTAAAAAAAAAAGAATGTAAAGAGAGAACCCACAGAATGGGAAAAAAAAATCTTTGCTAGCTACTCTTCTGTTACTCTCTAGAACACATAAAGAACTCAAAAAACTTAACCAGAAAAACAACCTAATGAATGAATGGGCAAATGAATTAAAACAGACATTTCTCCAAAGAAGAAATACAAATGGCTAACAAATATGTGAAAAATGTTCAATATCATTAGCAATTAGGGAAATGCAAATCAAAACTACACTGAGATTTCATCTCACATCAGTCAGAATGGCAGCCATTAAGGATACAAATAATAATAAATGTTAGAGAAGATGGGGAGAAAAAGGAMCACTTTTACGTTGTTGGTGGGACTGTAAATTAGTACAACCATTATGGAAATCAGCATGAAAGTGCCTCAAAAGTCTAGGCATTGAACCACTATAGGACCCAGCTACACTACTCCTCGGTATTTATGTAAAGAATGAAAGTCATCTTACTACAGGGATACGTGCACACCCGTGTTCACAGCAGCATGATTCACAATAGCCAAACTACGGAACCAGCTTAGGTGTCCATCAATGGCTAAAGATAAAGAAAACATGGCATACATACACACATACACATACACACACACACACACAGTGGAGTCTTTGTCAGCCATAAAGAAAAATGAAATTATGCTATTTGCAGGAAAATGGATGGAACTTGCGGGGAGTCATACTGGCCAAATTATACTGTTATATCAATGTGCACGTACAAACATGGAACAACCAATACCACCATTACAGACAACTAGAATGCACCGACAAAATAATACGGAGCCAGGCCCAGTGGCACATGCCTGTAATCCCAKTGACTTGGGAGGATGAAGCAGGAGGATCACAAGTTCGAGGCCAGCCTCAGCAATCTAGCAAGGCCCTAAGCAATTCAGTGAGACCCTGTCTCAAAATAAAAAGTATTGGGGATGTGTCTTAGTGGTTAAGTACCCCTGGGTTCAATCACTAGTACCAAAAGAAAAAAAGAGGGGCTGAGGTTGTGGCTCAGTGGTAGAGCGCTCGCCTCACATGTGTGGGACCCTGGGTTGGATCATCAGCACCACATAAAAATAAATAAGTGAAATAAAGGTATTGTTTAATACCTTTATTAAAATACAAAATGCAACTAAATTAAAATACCAAATACAACTAAAAATTAAATATTAAAAAGAAAAAAGTGGGAAAACAGTGGTGGTTCAACAGATTCCACAGTTCCATGAGTCTGAGGACTTGGAAGGAGGGAGCTGAGAGTTGGAGGTGGAGGGGAGAGAGCAAGGTGATTCAGAGGCAAATAATTACTATGGTGGGGCTGAGCTAAGGTTCAGGAAAAGGTTGCCACAGGTGAAATTGGCAAGGAACTGACAGGTCAAGACATGGACAGRGTCATCCATCTAAAAGCCCAGAGGTGAGGGAGCCAGGAGCGGGGCTCTGGGAATGAGGAGCAATGACCAGAAGGTGGCCAGGAGATGGCCARGAGTCTTGCCCTCAGTAGCACCAGGGCTCTTTAGCCTTGAAGAGGACATTTACTATTTTACTCTCAAAGCAAATTCTAGAGACCAGCAAACGTGACCATCTGACTCTTAGGAGAGGAACCCGAGGCCCAGCAGGGTGACGAGTCTTGCCCTATCCTGGCCCCCCCAGCACAGCCCCAGCTGTGCGCTCAGGCCACCTGGGTAGTTGCGGCAGCCCCCGGCMGTGCTCCCCCGCCGCCAGGTGCCCTCGTAGAGTGTGGTGTTCCAGTTGCGGACCGTCCTGCTCTTGAGCGCGTCGGGCGTGAGGTTGCAGATCTCCAGGCGGGTAAACTCGCGCATGAAGTCACGGAATGACATCCTGGGGGCGGACGAAGGGAACCTCGCTCATTGTCYGCGTTTGTGGGGTTGGCAGGGAGGAGACATGGCCCGAGAAGGGTCAGGCCAAGAAGGGCTGCTCACCAGAACTCCCCATCCTCCATCTTGATCCGCAGCTGCTCCCGTTCGTAAGAGTCCACGTTGTTCCACTCTGAGGAGCTGTGGGGAGCAGGGCACTGCCAGGGCTGGAGGAGACTGACCTGCCTGGCCTCTGTCCCTGGGGCCTGTCTACCTTGGACTGTCCTCCCAAAGCCCAGGTCAGGAACTCTCCTCAAAGTCAGACCTGAGCTCCCAATTCCAGAGCATMCCCACAGGTGGCCCAGGCCCTCAGGGCCTACGCTTTGTTGGGTCATTGCCCCAAACCCAGTCACATAAGAGGGGCCCCTTGGTTCAGCTCTGACTCCACGCTGGTGTGGCAGAGTCAAAAGCAGAAATGTCAGGGGCATCTAAGAAACCTCCCAAACCTCCCCCCAGTCTCCACCACCCTTCCCCTCACCCATCGCTCCAGGCTCCGGTCCACTCCACCTCGCCCCAGGGGTTCCGCATCCGGATCAGGCTCACCGGCTGGCCCCGGTAGTTCACCTGTTCCCMAGAGCACCCATCAGCACCGGCTCCCACCCCACCTTGCCCTACTCCACACCCAGCAGTACACCAGGGAACTGTCAGTAGAGCCACAGAGCTTGTCCCTCAGGAATTTACAGCCCAGGGAGGTAGCTGGGCACAGGAAGTACAGTCAATCAGGGCAAGCATCGATAAGCGGCTCAGGATGGTTTCCCAAGGGAGCGATAAGGTGCTGCAGAAGGTCAAAGGAGGAGCAAGCACCTCCCACTGCCCTGGTCAGATGCCAGGGAGGTAAGGACAGGCAAGAAGGGAAACACCCTGCAGGGCAGCCCCACCCAGGGCAGTACCTGCTTGGCTCCAGTCACAGAGTATGCGTGGCCCTTCACCAGCTTCTTAAAGGTGATGGCCTCCATGTCCAGGACACTGGAGATCTGCAGAAAGACATGTGCTCTGTGGTTGGGGGCCAGTCCCCTCCTACTATTGCCAGTGGCAGGCAGGGGCCACAGTCCCATTCACTCCATCCTCACCTACGGCTGCTCCTCCTGGGGGTGGGGGTGGCTCCACTACCCTTCCAACACCCACCCCAGGTACCCCCACCAACACCCGCCCCAGGTACCCCCACCAACACTGCCACTGGTATGGGCTAAGGCTGGCCAGATTTTGTGAACATGCACACATCCCATGTGTAGCCCTTCAGGGACAGTGGGAGGGTAAGAGAGGAAGAAGGTCAGGATGGAGCCTATGGAGAGGGGGAAGGGGCCCAGATCACAGAGACGTTGGGGTGGAGCCTGAGGTCAAAGACAAAGGAGGTCTGGAGATGGTGGTGGGAAAAGTGGGACAGACAAGGGTGGGCATGGAGAGGAGAGGGAGGGGCTAGGAGTGGGGCAGACAGAGAGCAGGACAGATCAGGCTGGAGGCTAGGGAACTGGATCATGGACAGCAGGGCAAAAGGAGCAGGTGGCAAGGGAGCAGAGTGGAGTGTCAGGAACCTGATCCTGGGAAAAAGCTGAGGCCTGGGATTTGGGGGGAGATGGGGAGGGGGTACCTGACCACCACTGGGCATGAGATGGAAGAGGGGGAGGAAGTGATGGGTGACACTGATGTGCAGCCAGAGAGGGTGCTGAGGTGAAGGGCGGGGGTCTGGGGCTAAATCAGGGTGGGGGCGAGGTTAGCACTGGGTGGGGAGAGGAAATTGATGGAAGAGTTGGATTACAGGCTGGATGCAAGGGTCATGGTGTGGGTGTCAGGCTGGGCACACTCACGTCAATGGAGCAGCCTAGCAGAGAGCCGCGCTCCAACGCCTTGAGGATGATTTGGTAGAGGTCACTGGGTGCCTTGCGCAGCTCGTACCACTCGGTGACCCCACCTGTGAAGTCCTCAAAGCCCTCGGAGGTGCTGCCCCCCGACAGGGCCTCATAGCTGCCATTGACCCTGTGGGCAGCTCCAGGTCAGCACTGTGACATTGAGCAGGACCAGATAAGAGGGCCAGGGTACCCCACCCCCAGGGGTGGGGCAAGAGCTGTCCCCAGGAGCTCTGCTCACTTGGCATAGGCCTTCTCCAGCAGGGCGCTCCAGAACTCGTTGCCTTGGGCAGAGTGCACAAACAGCAGCTTCCCGTCCTTGGTGGGCAGCAGGTCATCCACGACCACATCCACCCACTCCCCAAACTGCCATAGCTGTAGGGAAGGGGACACAGTGAGTACCTGCAGTGGGATTCCCCACGCCTGACCCCACGCCTGAGCTCCATCCTCAGTTTTGCTACTAACTAGATACATGATCTTAGATCAAGTATAGTAGAAACTTATGCAATATATACGTACTAGATACATACAAACTTGATGTGTACTAGGAATACATATACTGACATACACCAGATACATGTATACAGCCCTCTACATCTACAAGTTCCACATCCATGGATTCAACCAACTACAGACAGAAAATTGATTTAATTTTTTTTTTCAGTGCTAGGGATGGAACCCTCATGCTACAAGAAGGCTCTACCCCAATCTGCGTTCCCAGCCCCAGAAATATTTTTTAATGCATTTGTGTTGAAAATGCACAGACTTTTTTCTAGTCATTCCTAAACAATACCGAACAACTATTTATATGGCATTTACGTTGCCTTGGTATTGCAAGTCATCTAAACATGTCTTACAGTATATAGGAGGATGTGGAAGGTCTCTGTAGGTTATATGAAAATATTACATTTTTACATAAAGAACTTGAGCATCCATGGATTTTGGAGTCCATGGGGCTCCTGGAACCAGTCCCCTGCAGACATGGAGGGACAACTGCACTGCACATGTGATCCTGGACAAGTTACGCTCTCCGAGCCTCAGTTTCTGTACCCATTAAAGGGAGCAGTAGTGCGTTCCTCACAGGAGAGTTAAGCAAGATTATGCAGTCGTCTTTGGCTCACCATGGAAACAGGACAGACCTCCTCAGACATAGAGGGGGTGGAAAGCCATCTGGCCAGGGCTCTTCCCAAAACCAACTGCTTTTTAGGCCATACCTCTACTCTCCCAGTTCTAGGCCGGAGTGTAGGGGTTAGTGGGATCCATATAAATATATTGAATGTGGACCCATACCCTCCAACTACAGATGGGAGGGCCGATCACGCGGGAAAGGGTGGGGCTCAGGCCCAAGACAGAAGCCAGAAGCTTCCCTGTGCTCCAAGCACAACAGTCGGGGCGACCCAGAACAATGGGGGAAGGAGAGAAGGCGGGCCCAAGGAGCTGGAATTGATGGCGGGGGAATGTTACACGGACCAATAAGAGGCCAGGGAGGAGAGGATTGGAGGAATGAGGGAAGGGGCGGGGCAGCCACGCCCCTGCGGACTAAAGCGGGGCAGGTGCGGCGGTCTGCCAAAGTGGCTCTGCAGAAGTTGGTATGGCAGCCGCTTCTGTGCAAGTTGGGTAAGGGGCTCCCTAACTAGGCGGAAGGAGGCGACACCCAGGAGTCCTCCACACATGGCTGGGACCACCAAGGCAAGGGGGTCTCGACTACAGTTGCTGAGTTGTCTCTCCCAATAGGAGCTCATTGAGGATTCATTAGTGTGTCTGGAGAAAGGGTCCTGTCGCAAACGTCAAGAAAAGCTGGTTTAAACAGATTAATCCTGCGCCTTTTCTGCTAGTCTGTGTCAGAGGTCGCCAAAGCACAGGAGCTGGAAGATGGGAGGATTGACAAATGGAGATGACCACCTTTCACCCAGCACTCCTTTTTTCAGATGTGGAAACTGAGGTCCAAGTCAGGAAAAGGTTTTTTCCCCCAACAGGGCATAACACAGAATTTCTTCTACTTTTCCAAACACTTTCTCCCTGCTACTCAGAACCACCCAGGAAAASTGCCAGTTGAAATACCTGCCCAACTGTTTCACACATGACAGATCTGAGATGGCACTGAGAGGTCAAATACCTCTCAGAGGGAGGGCTGCCCCCGCAGGGTGTGGCCACTAGCCACCTTAACTTCGAGTGCGGTGGTCATCCTTCCATATATCCCCCAGTGCTTCCTTTCCCTCCTCCCCAGCGTGTGCGGGGCCCTTCACCTGGAAATGGAAGATGCCCGCATAGCCATCCTGGAAGCTCTGGCCATGAGGAACCACTCGGTGCAGGAGGGTGTCATTGAGGGTGAGGGAGGCGATGGCAGCCAGCAGCCAACAGTCCCCTGGGATGGGAAGGACTCATGTCAGACCTGTTCTAGGATCTGCCCCTGGGGGTGGGGAGGTGTGCTCATGGATATCCATGTTGAGGAGAACCTGGGATTCCCTGGATGGGGTGCCTATCAATTGCCCTTAGCTTACAGAAAAGACCCAGGAATCTGGGCAAACCAGCCCCAGTGCTGATAGCCAAAGCCTGTCTGGGCTTGCAGGAGGGAGGGGTTGGGGTAGAGCCCAAAGGAACGGGAACGGGAATAGGGAACTACTGTRGCAAAAACACCCAGACCTCCCCACCCCGGAGAGGCCTACCCAGTGCTCCCTGGCAGATGTCTGTGCGGGTAGCTCCATCCACGATGAACTGCGGATTTGACAGCATCTCCTACGAGACCCAGAGTCCTGTCCCTGAGCTGGTCCCTCCTAGAAACTGACACCCCACCACCAAGACCCCACTCCCCACCAGGAACCTGGTGTCCCATTCCACTCCTCACCCAGGATTGGGGTCAGCAGAATCCCACCCAAGGATGGCCCTCTCACCGTGGGACGCTTCCACTTGATGCCATAGGTCTTAGAGGAGTTGGGACCTAGTTCCTTGTAGCCCAGGCTCTGGGGCACTGGTGGGAAGGCCTCATCTCGGAACAGGGCCCCACTCTGCAGGCATCGGGCCCGCAGCTGTTCATAATCCTGGCCCAGGTATTTGATGGCGTTCTCATGGCGGCCCAGGCCCAGCTCCTTGGCCCGTAGCTTCTGCACCTGGGCTGACACCCCAGTGCAGTACACGGGTGTGATGATCTCCTCTGCCATCCTGTGGTACAGASCAGCTTAGTACCCATGTCTGCCAGGACCAGAATCCAGCTCCTGCCTGCTAGTGCTGCTCTTCCACCTCTGCACCCCTTATTCCCCAGACCCTGGTGTCCCCCGCCACTCCACTGCCCCCACAGCACTCAGGCTCTCTGCAGTCTCCCTAGGCTCCAGAATCCAGCAGAAGGCTCCGCAGTTCCAGGGTATGCTAACCACAACCTCTCCTCCTCCCACTGCCATTGTTCTGGGCCTGCAGCCCTGGTCAGCCAGCCAGCCAGCCGGCCAGGTGGGGTAGGGTGGGGCCCTGAAGTAACACAGGGATCTGGGAAGGTGTGTATGGAACCCCAGGGAAGGTCTTTTTGATCCCCTTGGCGAGCCTGTAACCCCCTCTCCAAACTGGCCAGCACCTTGCTCACCGGCCCCTTTCTGGCTTGGGAAGTGAGAACTCCAGGCAGACGGCCCCCTCCACAGACCACCCGAAACCCACAGAGCTGCTAAATTCCAGCCCAGCCCCTGGGGACAGTAGTGAGTGCAGGATGGGGCGAGTGCCTGGGCTGTGCCGCTTCCCTAATCCTCTGCCCCTGACCCAGGCACGCCAAGGGCCCAAGTAAAGGCCATCTGAGGAGCCCCTCTGCCCCGGAGCAGTGGCCAGGGTGAGAATCGCGGCCAGCCACCCAACTCCTTACCTGGAGGAGGGGAGGTTGGGGGTCGCTGCGGTCCCAGCGGCTGGCTTCGCTGGTGGCAGCTCAGGGCAGGGCCCAACCAGGAAGAGCGCTCCTCCCCGCCCTCCTCCCGCCGCCCTCCTCCCTCCCTCCCTCCTCCTCCTCCTCCTCCTCCTCCTCCTGGGGCTCCTACCCCGCTTCCTCTCGGCTCTCCCTTATCTCTCGGGCACCTTCTTTGACTATCTCTTACTCATGGTGTCTCCCCGCCGCTCCCTCCGCAGGCCCGGGCCAACTCCGCGTGAGGACAAATTAGCAAAAGGCAGAGTTGTCCCCAGGGAAGGGCCCGCGCCTGTCGGGGTGGGAAGGGCTGGGCCCTGGCGGAAGGGCACTGCGGGGGCGGGGAGGGGAGAGGAGAGGGGACCGGAGGGCAGGGGGTATTTTTAACCGTGGGCAGCAGCTCGGGTTGCAGGGACAGCGGCCACACCCTCGCCGCCCTCCCGGCGGGCACTCTGGGGCCACCGGGCCGCGGCGGCGCCGCCCCCAGCCCGCCCCCAGCGCCCCTCACTCCGCGCGGTGCCGCCGCAGCTGTCCTCGCCCCTCCCTGCTGGCCCTTGCGCGGGGCTGAGATTACCTCGGGCTGCGGCAGCTGCTCGCAGCAGGGGCCAGGCTGGCGGCACGCGGACCCCTGCCGGACACTCGGCAAACGGCAGCCCCACCCGGCCGCTCCCCGCGGCAGCCGGGCTCCGGGGCTGGGCCGACTCCCGCCCCCACCCACCCCCGCGCCCTGGGGCGCAGGTCCCGGCCGCCACCCGCCTCAGTGGCTCCGTGCGTCCGGGCGGGGCGCGGGGAGCCGGCCCTTTAGGCCCCGACTCGCTGCGTGACCTTGGGTAAGTCCCGGCCCTGCTCGGCCTTGATTTCCCGGTTCGTGCAGCGAATGGGATGCRAAGACGCAATGGTGGGAGCCCATCTTGCGGTTTCCTGAACCAGGATACTGCGGGAGGTGGACACCTGCCCTCTCCCGCAAGCCCTCTGTGCACCCAACGGGGAGCGCCCTTGTGTCACCTTACCCAGAAGAGGGCGTCAGAGGCCCACCCGGGACCCGCAGATTATGCCTGGTGAACTGCAAAGGGAGACCCTGAAGAAGGGGACGGGCTTCAGTGATCCTGCAGCTCAGGGCTCTTCGGTGGTATGCGGGTCCCAGCCCGGCAGTTGCTGCAGCATTTTGTGCATAGCTTTTCTGGGATCCTAGGGTCTATGACCCCAGCAGAAGTTAAGAGCCGCCTATGTAATGGGACTCCACTCTCATCCTCAGTTTACAGATGAGGAAAACTGAGGCCTGCGGGGWTGTGGCTTGCCGGAGTTCCCCCACCTGGTGAGTCAGGGCTGAAAACAGCTCCTGGGCTCTTCGCCCTTACCATTCTGCATTCTTGTGGCCACTCTTGGTTAAATTCTGCAGGTCTTCGCGCAGCAGAGACCCGTGATTGAGGCAATCAGTCCCTGCTGGTAGAGGGTGCTCTCCTGATCCCATTTTGGGGGCCATGGTAGCTGAGTCGTGATTATGGACAAAGAGGAATTAAGTCAACAATGTGGACAAGGCTTCCTAGCAGAAAGGACAGCAAAGGGAAAGTTCTGAAGGCTGAGGGGACACAAGCCAGAAAGTCCAGCTACAAGTGTTCCTTGTGGCTGGATATCAGGAAGCAGAAGTCTGAAAGAGGAAAGATGTGCAGGGGAGATTGCAAAGACGGCCATCCCCTCAAAGCCTTCTGACTCAACCCATGAGTCCCAGTGCCGCCACCGTGACTCCCACAAACCTCCTCACTCCTGCATATTGCATTTGGCTTTCCCCAGATGGGCACTGACCACCTTCTCTATGGGCAGGACACTGTGCTCACCTGGGTATGGATGGTGCGGACTCATGGCTTATCTTTATGTATTTGTATGTGGTGCTGAGGATCAAACCCAGCGCCTCACACGTGCGAGGCAAGCGCTTTACCACTGAGCCCCAGCCCTGAACTTGCTTTTACACCCATAATTAATTGAGAAGAAAGTTGGTGCGAAGGATGCACTTACCTGAAACCTGATCTTGTCCAGGAGTTAGAGGAAGTATTAGATGCAGGGAGTTATGGTGGCGAGGAGGAGGTGAGGTATGGGAATTGCCTCTAGGAGTCTCAGCACTGGGAGGAACTGGAGTGTGCTTGTCACTTAGAGTCAGAAGGCAAGGGAGAGTGGCGCCCCTGAGCTGGCCAGCAGAGTTTAGATTTCAATCTACTTGAAGCAGAAGGCTGATCAGATTTGTACAAACAAAGAAGGCTGCATAGCAATGGGTTGAGGAGGCAAGAGAGGGAGGAGGGCGTCTAGGCACCAGAGCACTGCAGATATCCAGGGGCAGAGAATGTGGCTCAAACTAGGAAGGTGGCAAGGTCGGGGGTGGGGCTTGCAGTAGACTATTGATGGCACATGATAAAATAGGGCCCCCAAAGCTCCTGCCCTTCTTCAGGGGTCTTGGGTGAACACTGAGGAGGGGAGATTCTCAGTGTGTTAGGGAAAAGAGAAGGGGCAAGGATTCCCTGTGGCTGAGGGCCTTTCTCTTCCTCCTGTGATTTTTTTTTTTGAGGGGGGGGGTCTATCTGTGCTGCCCCAGACTGCCTGGCCTCAAACTCTGGGGCTCAAGTGATCCTTCTGCCTCAGCTTCCCTAGTAGCTGGGACTCCAGGTGCACCGCAGAAGTTCTTGCTGCATCTTTATTGGGTTATATTTGTTTGTTTGATTGTGATGGGGTCTCATTATGTTGTCCAGGTTAATCTCAAGAGAACCTCCAGCCTCAGTCTCTCAAGGACCTGGGGCTACAGGCATGCCACCATGCCCAGCTCCCTCTCATGTTCTTGCTGGGACTGGTGGTCCTGGAGGCTTGTATTCCTGAAGACCCTGTGGACCATAAGATCCACCACCCTGATATCGGTCTCTTCAGAGGCAGCCTTGGGGAGCCTCTGAGAAACCTGCTGCTATCTCTAGATAGACTGAACTGACCTCAATGAGGGGACATTCAGCCAGTGTCTGCTACAGAACTGATTGCTTTCTTGGTATGTAGGGAAAACCCCTCACACATCCGGGGTCAGAGCCATCTGGGYTTCGAGCAGACTGCTGGAGAAAGTGAGCCTGCTTTTTCCACTCATGGGAATATTTTCAATTTTTTTCTTCTTTAAAAGACTTTTTTTTTTTAGATCAGTCTTAGACTTGCAGGAAAATTACTGAGAAAGGACAGAGTTGCCTTATATCCTCCCTCCCTCCAGCAGCTGTTCCTGTTAATATCTTGCATCCATCCGGGTGGCATCTTTGTTACAGTTGCTGAAGCAATATTGATGCAACGTTATTAACTAACGCCTATCCTTTGCCTTAGGGTTCATTGTAAGTTGGTGGGTTCAGACGAATGAGTAATGTCATGTATTCACCACTRCAGCATCAGAGAGAAGTTTCACTGCCCTAAAAATGCCCTATGCTCAGAATAGAAGTACAAATTTGGGGGTTACTGACCATTGGTGCCATTGGAAAGAAGTAAAGGCTGGGGGTAGACACCTCTTTCTGATATGAAAATATCTCATAAACATGTCAGTTCTGCTTAAATTAGTCTATAAATTAACCACRATTAAGATTACAAGAGGGGACTGGGGTTGTGRCTCAGTGGTAGAGGACTTGTCTCACATGTGTGAGGCACTGGATTCGATTCTCAGCACCGCATATAAATAAGTGAATAAAGTAAAGGTCCATCAACAACTAAAAAAAAAAAATTTTAAAGGCAAGGGCAGCTGGGTGTGTTGCTACACATCTGTAATCTCAGCAACTCGGGAGGCTGAGGCAGGAGGATCCCAAATTCAAGGCCAGTCTCAGCAACTTGGTGAAATCCTATCTCAAAATAAAAAATAAAAAAGGACTGAGGACAGTGGCTAAGCACCCCTGGGTTCAATCATTGGTACCAGGAAAAAAAATTAAAAAGTGGGGATGGGAAAATCTAGGGGAAAAAATAAAGTTGGGTTCATAATTTGCATCTTAGAAGAAGTTCCAAATGAACTCAAGATACAAATGTAAAGCATGAAAACAAAAATCTAGGGCTGGGGATGTGGCTCAAGCAGTAGCGTGCTCGCCTGGCATGCGTGCGGCCCGGGTTCGATCCTCAGCACCATRTACAAACAAAGATGTTGTGTCCGCCGAAAACTAAAAAGTAAATATTAAAAATTCTCTCTCTCTTTAAAACAAAATAAAACAAAAATCTATAACCAGGAGCTAAAGGAGAAGTCTTTGTAAACATCTCAGTGTGGAAAAGGTCTTTTAAACTATGACACACTCAGAACATAAACATAACACTCAGAAGCCATAAAGCTTGATTGCTTGCTTTATTTATTTATTTATTTATTTATTTTATTTTTTGCATTGTTGGGCATTTAACCCAGGGCTTCACACATACTAGGCAAGTACTCTACCAGTGAGCTACATCCCCAGGCCAAATTTTATTTTTTGCTTTTAAAAATCTATACAAGGCTGGGGGTGTAGGCAGTTGAAGAATGCTTGCCTAGCATGTGTGAGGCCCTACATACCRTCCCGTCCCCAGTACTGTACCACAAAACAAAAACCATGCAGGGGATRAGGATGCAGTTCAGTGGTAGAGTATGTGCTTAGCATGTTCAAGGGCCTGGGTTCAATCCATARCATCACACAAACACACACAAACCATCTATACTGTGCTGTAGTTTGGGATCTGAAATGTTCCCCAAAAGCTCATGTGGAAAGGTTTTTGGTCCCAGACAGAGCCATGTTCAGAGTGGTGATCTGGGGAAGTGGTTGGATCAGGAAGATGCTGTCCTCATCAAGGGGTTAATCCATTAAGGGATTCAGGGCTGAATGGACTGCTAGGAGGCGGCAGGACGGTAGGAATTGGGACCTAGTTGAAGGGAGTGGGTCCTGGTGTGGCTTGTCCTTGTGGACTATATCTTGTCCCTGGCCACTTTGTTTCTCTTTGCTTCCCATCTGCTATGAGGAGAGCAGCCTCCTCTGCCACACGCTTCTGCTGCCATGATGCTCTGCCTCGCCTTGGGCCCCCAAAATGGAGCCAGCCAAGCATGGATTGAAACCTGGAAAACTTTCCTCCTTCATGTTGTTTTTCTCAGGTATTTTGCCACAGTAACAGAAGTCTGACTAACAYGCAATGTCAAAGGATGAACTGAAGAAAATATGGATAATTAGTATTTTAAAGGGCTATTTTTCTCCATTTGTAGAAAAAGAATTCTTATCTGTCAATCAGAAGCCAGAATCAGTGGGATAAATGAGTAAAGACAAGGACTGTTCAGAAGAAAGGGTAAATGGCTCTTAAACATAAGAAAAGACACTTGAGCTCACTGAAAAATAAGTATGAACTAACACTTCACCAAGAAATGATTTTCCACTTAATTTGTCAATGATAAAAAATCTGAGCAGGGTGGGGCACGCCTGTAATTCCAGTGGCTTGGGAGGCTGAGGCAGGAGGGTCCCAAGTTCAAAGCCAGCCTCAGCAAAAGTGAGGCGCTAAGCAACTCAGTGAGACCCTGTCTCTAAATAAAATACAAAACAGGGCTGCGGATGTGGCTCAGTGGTCGAGTGCCCACGAGTTCAATCCCTGGTACAAAAAAAAAAAAAAAATCTGGTACTTCATGGGTTGGTGAGAATTCTGGAAAAATCAAGCCTTATGTACTCCTGGAGGGGTRGTGAATAGCCAGAGGGACATTTGGCAAAAAAAAAAAAAAAAGACAATTTGGGCTTATTCATTGGCAGAGCAATTTTTAAAATTTACCCTACAGATATTTTTTTTTACATGTTTATGACATCCTTACAAAGTCACTCACAGAAGCTCAGCTTGCAGTAGCAGAAGCCTGCTATTAAGTGAAGAAACAAATATGGGTCAGTAAGGGACTAGTTACTTTATAGCTACTTGTATCTAAAAATGGGAATATAAAAAGGAACATATGGATTAAAAAAATTTAAAAAATATGTTGCTAGGTCAGCAGCAGGATGCGTGGAATTCTACCAGAGTTTAACAAAAAGCGGTGAGAAACARATGCGTATTTGGTTCAGTGATTTTTCTGATACTTCTGACACAAAATATCAACTTTCCAGCATGGACCATGTTCACAATTCCATTCCTTCTGTCACCATCCTGGAGCCTGTAACAGACCCAACAGGTTAAGAGTTCCATCTCACCAGCCACCCCCACTTCTGCCCAACTAACTGTAAATTTGAAGGTTCCTAAATCATTCCTTGGGCTTAGCAATGTGGTAGAAGGCTCACAGCACTCAGGAGAGTGTTTACTTACTGTTACTGGTTTATGATAAAGGAAGCAGGTCAGGAACAGCTAGATGGAAGCTGGCACCAGGTGAGGTATGGGGTTGGGGTGCAGAGTTGCCCTCTCCTGCTCCCAGCACACCTGTGTTCAAAGTGTTTGTCTCTTCAGCATCCCCCACCCAGAGTTGTCACCCTTGAGTGGTTGCAGTCKCCTTATGAATAATTCAGGGACTTTTATGAACAGCAAAAGATTCTTCTATTGCCCTGAAATTCCATAGGTCTTAGGAGCTCTGTGCCATTTAGATGTGTGTGCATGATTATAATGCCACATTTGATGATGTATGGATTCCTTCCTGAAAGGATGTAAGAGACTCACTTTCATTGCCTCTAGGGCTGGGARCCAGGAGGCAGGGAGTTGAGGGAATAAGGGGACTCTTGGTTCACAATGTACATGTGAATATATTGCCTTTTTGAAATTCAGTACTGTTTTGAGGGGCTACTGAGGACTGGACCCAGGGCACCCCGCATGCTAGGCATGCACTTCCATGAAGCTACATTCCCATCTCCCTCCCAATACTTTTTAGTCCTTAGCTTCGTTTCTAATGTCCTCAACCTCTAGGCTTTTAAAATTCTCCCCAGTTCTGAGGATTGAGCCCAGGGATGCTCAGGAACCCAGGAGGTTCCCCACCCTATTTTTAAGTTTTATTTTGAGACAGGATCTCAATAAGTTGCTGAGGCTTGCCCTGAACTTGCCATGCTCCTGCCTCAGCTCARGTAGCTGGGATTCCAGGYRTGCACCTGGCYGGCATCTCCAGGCTTTCTTGCTCTGCCCCTTGAGATCCACTCTAGAGCGGGCAGGTAACTCCATCCGACTTGTAGACTCCTCCCCACTCCCCACTTGTTCCATCCCCTCTGCGAACAGCCACCCCTGCTGGGCTCACTACTTCCACACCTTCCCTCCCCTCCTCAGACAGCATCAGAACCCTCCTGGGATGAACCCATTCAAATCTCAGCACTCATTGCAAAACAATGCCCAGGTGACAGGCCAGGCAACAGAGGCACAAGACTTGAAATAACAAGCAGGGACCTGGAATTTGAAATTAAACCGTTTGGCTCCAAAGGGCAAGTCATAACCACTGCCCTAGACTACCCTCCCATGAACATCCAGGCCCGGTTAAATGTGCCTCCTCTGGGAAGCCTTCCTTCTCCTTCAGTAGCAAGAAATTGACTGAGTGCTCAGTATGTCTTTCCTTTGGGGGAGGGGGAAGGAACTATAGGATAATAATCACTACATTATATTATTATTTAAACATTATTATTCCTAAATATCCTCAAGTCTGACCCTGAAGACATTTCTGACCTGGCCACAGAGCCATTTTCCATTTAAACTTTACCAGTAGGTTTGGGGGCCCCTTCTTAGGGCTGCGAGTATCCCAGCTCATTGAATCCCAGCTACACTGTGTAGTGTTCATAGATGGTGGATGTTACAGAARGGAAACTGAGGCTCAGGACGACAGAGACCGGCCGCCATGGGAAGAGGAAGAGCTGGTTCAAAGCCTGTGCTCACAGGCCTAACCTTCTGACCCTCTCACCATCACACTGGGTCAAGGAACCAGGCCAGTACCTAAGCAGTGGGTGTCCTGTAGACACACGTTAGTTAGAGRATCAGGACCGGAGCGGGTACACATTGTTAGGAGGCAAGGGTGGGGCAGGGGCAGTGCTGCCACCTAAGGCCCACCAGACAGGAGGCTGGGGGTGGGGGTGACACRTGTTACATAGGGGAGTGGACAGGCAGGCAGCTCTTGAGCAGCAGAACTCAGTCCCCAGGTGTGGTGGAGGCTTGGGGAAGACTGGGAGGGGGCCACAGAGTGAGCCTGGAGGGGAAACTGGTGAAACAGCCCATGTGCCCCCCTCCCACATCCTGTTGGTCCCACTCCCACCTCCCAGGTCCCCAAGCCGACCCTCCTCAGCTCCTGTCTCCAGCTCATTGTGGAAGGTGTAGTTGCCCAGCTCTAGCTGCATCTGGGGGGCAAGACAACAAGRAAGTCCTCACCCCAGAGGTTTTTGGCCACTGAGAAGCAATTTTGGCAGCAGGGTGGATGGCACTCAGAGATCAGGGAAGGGCAKCTGGATGAGGTGTGGGAGGTCACATCTGTGATGCTGGGGCAAACCACACAGGCCACAGTGTGGGGGTGAATGGCCAGGTTCCTGGGGTGTAATGGTTAATTTAAATCATCAACTGATAGACCCAACCTGATCTTTTATTAAAATTGGGAGCCATCTCACCACAAAGCCATGAAAAGATAATTTTGGCTTTACTATAAATTACTGCAAATTCTGAACCTGCTTGGAATGCCTGCCTGTGCCTTGAACTCACCCATGCCTGGCTCTCTGACCAGATAGCAGCCCTCTCTGAAACTTTAGTGACGCCTCACAAATCTTGGCCTTCCCTGGCCAGATACTGACCCTCTCTGAGGCTGTAATGACCCTCATAAATTCTGATGTTGGGGCCAGCAAAAAATGTAAACTACCATCAGTGTTATGCTSGTCAGAGTTCTGTTATCTGTAACCCCCCTTTGTGTAACTTTCTGGGCTATAAAGCTGGGCTGCAGGAAAGCTGGGGTTGCTGTCTTGTTCTCGCGGTTTTGGGAGGAAGAGGCAGCCCGGCCGGTCGAAATAATAAGCTTGCTTTAATTTGATTTTAATTGGAGTCAGTGGTCTTTTCTGGCATCCTGGTCTAACACAACTTGATTGGATTAAGATATTCCAAGGATTAGGAGGGTTATGGGTTTGTCAATGAGACTCTGTCTAGGAATGATTGGCACGTGGAATAGCCAACTGAAAAGGAGACCCTCCCTAAGCGTGGGCAGCACCAACCAATAGGATGATGGCTTGGATGGAATAAAAATTGGAAGAAGGAGGAAGCAGCAGCAGATGCAAGCTCAATTCTTCTTGAACAGGTTCTTGATTACTGGTGTGATGGTCTGAGGATATTAGACTCCYGCTTCTTCACTTTTCAAGGTGGATTCTCAAGAAGCCTTTGGTCTCAGACTAGAGTAGAACTGATCCCTCTTGTTCTGGGGCTTCAGCCTCTTGAACTGCCCAGCTACTGGTTCCCCCAGCTCTCCAGCCTGCAGACGGCCATTTTTGTGGACTATCACTTCCGGTCACATATGAGAACCTAATAAGTCCGCCTTTTATAATTATACTTCCTGTTGATTCTGTTCCTCTAGAGAAGCCTAATACATGGGGTAAGGGGCCCCAGGCCTGACAGCAATCCCTCTGAACTGCACCTTGGTGGGGACACCACTTCCGAGTCCAGGCCCAGTGGGTTGGCTTGCTGGCCATGACCTGGGAGGAGTAGAGTGGACAGTGAGTTGGGATGGCAGCCCAGCCTCACCCGCTCACAGCGCTGGCTTAGAAGTCCATTCGTGCCCACAGTATGTCCCTTGGGTGCTAGAACTTCCCCACCCGGGAATGCCAATCTTCCCCCAGGGCCCATGGAAAAAAAATCTCACATTTAGGTTTCTCCAAGTCCTCCTCCATCTCATTTGCAAGGAACACAAGGGCATGAGGTCAAGGGTCAAGTCTATGGCCTCCGCCCTGTCCCATCCTACCATACCCTCACCCTCAGTAGTGTCCCGCTGCCCACTCCTGCCACTCATAGTGCCAAGAACTGCTGTGGTTGTGCTCACAGAGCGTCAGGTTARCACACCGGAAGGAGACCAGCCCCACAGCCAGGAGGAACTGCAGGCAGGCAGGGGCAGCCAGAGGCCCTGGGGATGAGGCCAGCAGCCAGGTTCCTTCACACCCCAGAGGTTTTGGACAGGGAAGAAAAGACAGTAAAATGAGGGGCCCAGCAAAGATAAGGGGAAGGGTTCCCCCAACAGTCCAGGGGACCCAGCGCACTGAATCCCCTTAAGTCAACCTTCTACTCAAGTGACCCCAGCCTCTACTTTGTTACTCTCTGTAACAAACTCCACTTTGCTTCCTTACCGTATCTGAAATCTGGAAGCAGGTGTCTTTGGAGAGGAACTCCTGGAAAAAGCTGTCCTCTGGAGGTAGAAAAACAGGGGACACAGGTCATGCCCCATAGATAAAATGGTCAAAGCYCAAACCACCACTGAGCCCATGTTCTGACAAGATCCCCCTCCCACCTGCCACACCTGTCCAGAGAGGCTTGGGAGGCCAGCTTGAGCAGAGCAGGACCCTGCCTTCCACAGCTCTTTGTATTCTTGACCCCATCGCCCTTCCCATGCCAGCCTCCCGGAAACTCACCCAGAATGTTGAGGAAGGCCTGGACTCCTGGCCCTGGTGGGGATGAAGAAACCCATTGCCCCCCCTTGTTGGCTGCAGTCCCCCAACTTCACCTGGTGATAACCACAAGACAATGGCAGGGTCTCCGGTATCACTTATCTCATGGGGAGTAGGAGTAGGGTGGGGCAGGGTGGAGCAAGGGGACCTATAGATACAGCAGCCTCAGGACTTGGTACCTATACAATGACCTCCCACAAATCAAAGAGGAAGGTGAGGCTGGCCAGAAAGAGGACCAGGAAGGTGGAGGGCAGGGTGCAGAGACTCAAGGATTCAGAACAGAGGGCACCTGGGAGGCCTGACAGATGGGGAGGCCAGGAAAGAAGCAAAGCTCTGATGAGGACTGCAGCACCCCCACCCTCCTCCTGGTGCCTGGACCAGAGAGTAACAGCAGCAGCAAGCACCTCCTAGGTGCTCGGGACTGTGCTAAAAGCTCTAAGGGCTTCATCTTACTGCCCCCTGGAAGGCGGGTGTCACAGGGACCTATTTGGCAAAGGAAGCAAACAGGCTTCAGTTAGGTGAAGGTGGAWCCCACATATTCAAAAAGCCTGAGGATTTTCCCCTTGCTGCCCAGATCTCAACCCCCTCCTACACCAAAGAGTTGGAAGGGCACATGCCCCCTATATCAAGGGGGAACTGAGGACCAAAGAGAATGACATCAAATAGTTGGATTTAGAACAAGTTGAGATTGGGGCCTCCTCAAACTATGGTTTGTTTTTTTGTTGTGATGGGGATTGAACCTAAGGGCACTCTGTCTCTGAGCCGCAGCCCCAGCCCTTCCCCGCACCCCCCTGTGGTGCTTGGGATTGAACCCAGGGCCTTCTGCATGCCAGGCAAGCACTCTACCAACTGAGCCACATCCCCAGCCCTTCCCAGCCCTATTTTGTATTTCACTTAGAGACAGGGTCTCACTGAGTTGCTTAGCGCCTCGCTTTTGCAGAGGTTGGCTTTACTCCTGCCTCAGCCTCCCAAGCCGCTAGGATTACAGATGCGCGCCACAGCGCCTGGCTCAGTTCTTAATATTTTTTAAATTTTAAGACAGGGTATTTTTAAATTACTGAGGCTGCCCTCCACCTTTGGAGATCCACCTCAGCCTCCTGAGTCGCTGGGATTACAGGTGCCCCCCCACCATGCCCAGTTCCTCATTTTCAAGCAGCTTCCCTAACCTTCCCTTAACCTTTCACAGAGATGCCAACCAAGGGAGAAGGTGCCAACCACCCCTCTCCTCGCCCCACACCCCAAGGTCAACCTGGGAGTCTTCAGCTGGCCTCCCACAAAGCAGGCTCCTCCCTCAAGGAGCCTCACCGGCCAGCAGGAGTTAACCACAGAATAACTCATGACTCAGGACCCAGGGCACCAACGCATTTATATATCCCAAGGGTGGACCCCGCCCCGCCCCTCCACCAATCAGAACCCTCCTGCCTTGCAGCTGCCAGGTAAAAGTTTTCCCAAAGCTTCCTCACCCATAAGAGGGGCAGGACCACTGGACCTGGGGCCTGAAACCCCTACAGGACAAGAAGCTAAAACATCCACCACGCTGTACTTAAACCCAAGAGCTCTCTATCACTGAGCTATACCCCCAGCCCTTTATTTTTTGAGACAGGGTCTCTCTAAATTGTTGAGGCTAATCTCAAACTTGAGATTCTCCTACCTCAGCCTACTAAATTGCAGAGATTACARATGTGGGTGTTGTTAGTAGCTTTACTTCACAAAGGAAAAAGCAACCACTAAAATGCAGTGTTGTCTCCAGAGAGGTTAAGTAATTTACTTCCAGTAAACAGAAAGTCAAGTTTCCACCTAGCTGTCTGGCCCGGTCTTCACAAAGGCATCTGAAGGTCCTTCTGTCTGTTTCAAGACTGATTYTGAACAAAGCCTGACCTAGAGAAAGTTTTGAGTAAAACCCAGTAGTGACCCCCAGACGGGCTGTGTTCACTGGGTCTCCTGTCTACTGATAATGCTAGAGATCAGAAGAGAATGCAGAAAAGAAGCCCGAGGGTCTGGGTATGCAGCTTGGTGGCAGAGCATTAGCCTGACATGTGTGGGGGGTGGYGGGGAGAAGACGAGGGAGGATAAAGAAAAGAAAAAAGTCTGTGGATTAAGTGCAGACTCCTCAGCAGTAGGGTGATCCAGTTTGCAAATCTTCCCCCTTCCCGGGCTTCTCATGTGATTTATCCCACTAGGAAGTCAGGCTTGTCCATCCCCAGCCCCCAGACCTGACTTGATCCAATACCTAAGCGTGTCGCTCCTACTTTCTGAATTAATAAATGGCTTACAAGGCCCTGCTGTCCCTGCTGCCCTTGCTCATCTCTCCACCCACAGCCCGGCCCTGGCCCTCTGTCACGACCCRCCCTCCAACCAGGACAGTGTAGATCTGGAACCTGAGCAGACACGGCGCATGCCCCATCTGAGCAGGAGCTTAAAAGCCCCAGTGTGGYTCTGCCATTACTCTCATCCATCTGCCAGGAGCCTGGTGTCCCCCTGGAAGGGCAGCCTCTCCATCCAGGTTCTGGAATAAAGAGGACATGGGGGCTGGGGATGTGGCTCAAGCGGTAGCGCGCTCACCTGGCATGTGTGCGGCCCGGTTCGGTCCTCAGCACCACATACCAACAAAGATGTTGTGTCCGCCGAGAACTAAAAAAGAAATATTAAAACTCTCTCTCTCTCTCTCTCTCTCTCTCTCTCTTAAAAAAAAAAAAAAAAAAGAGGACATGGAACTGAGTCAGAGCCACACACTCTAAGGGGTGTGGAAAATGAGCAAGAAATCGAATCTTGTTCTTGAGAGCCACAGAGATGTTGGGGTTGTCTATGATTCTGTAGCTCTACTACAGGCAAGACAGCCTGCAAGACTAGATCCCCACGGCTCATGTCAGGAAAAGAAAACCAAGAAGACCAGAGGCCAGGCTGGCCATGGAGCTCGGTGGCAGAGCACCGCCTAGCACTGATGAAGCCCTGGTTCCACCCCCAGCACTGTCAGGAAAAAAGAAAGAAAAAAAGACCAGAGGCTCCTATCCCAGCCCGGCCCCACCAGCTTGTAGAGAGGCGGTATCTTTCTAGTAAGGCTTGGCTTCCGCCCCCCTCCCAGTTCCTACAGAGCACAGCAAAGGTTCTGCCCAGCGGGAGAGGCAGCCCTAGAGACAGAGCTCCGCAAGTTGCCCTTGGGAACCGGTTTTTCTGGAACAATGCCTGTGAGCACTGTCCAACAAGACGGAGATCTTGACTGACAGCCGTTGAGAGAGCACTCAACATCTCCATCCTAGTACAACAAGGAAAGGGCAGAGCAACCAGGAGAGTGARAGACAACCAGGGAAGGAGATGGCCGCCAAGAGCCCTAGGGGGTCACAGTCCACCCTRGGGCTGGGAGAGCTGTGGCCACGCACTAGGCTGCACCCACTCAGGAACAGTCAGAGCTGCACCCAGACCCTCCACAAGAGGCAGCAGCCAGGCTGGTACAGGGGCTGAAGCATGACCTTGGTTACTCTGCCCTGGTCACCACTCCTAGGAAACCCAGYTTAAAAATAAAACTGCTCCCTGGCAGCCCCAAAGCCCGTACACACACAGCAAGGCTGCACTGTCGCACAAGCAGGCAGGGAGGGAAATTGCAAACTACCAGTCCCTGTCCCAAGTGGGCAAACACTCAGCCACAGAGCAGCCTGCAAGCCTCACACTCAACCCCACAGGAGGGAGGGGCTCTGACTCAGTCAGGAAGCCCAAACTCGGACCAGTGACTGAGGTATGCCACTCCAGGGCAACCCTGAGGAAGACAAGGTCACCATAAAAATAGGAAAAAAACCCTCTGAGCCTAACCATCCTAGGCTACATGCTGCAAGGACATAGACGTCAAGGGGTTAACTCAGGCAGGGTACCAACAAGTGACCAGGACAGCTGCACTGAGTCCCGAGATCCGTATCTGGAGTTGCTACGGTGTTATCAAAAATATGCAGTTTTCCACCAAGAAGTCAGAAGACAGGCAAAGGAACTGCAGAGCGTGGTTCCTACACAGAAGAAAGGCAGCCACAGACACTGTTTCTGAAGGACSCTGGACTTAGCAGATGGTGGCTTCAGAGCAGCTGTTAGGAAAAGTTCAAAGAACCAGAGGAGACCCCATGTGAAGAACTGTAGGCAAACGTGATGACGGTGGCTCAAGAAACAGACTCCACTGAAGAGACAACCAAATGGACATGCAGGACCGGAGAGTGCAGCAGCTAAATTAAAAAGTCACTAGAGGGCTGGGCTGGGGCTCAGTGGTAAAACACTTGCCTAGCATGAATGAGGCACTGGGTTCGATCCCTAGCACCACATACAAATACACAAAATAAAGGTCCATTAACAACTAAAAATATTAAAAATAGTAATAATAATAATAATAATAATAATAATAAAAAATTTAAAAAAACTCACTAGAAGAGCTTCACAGAGACTCAGATCAGCAGAAGAATTGGTGAATTCGAAGACAGGCCAATAGAGATTATGGAGTCTGAACAACCGAGAGGGGACAAGAAGGGAGAAAATGAACAGAGATTCAGGGAAATGTTAATACTATGTTAATAGATTTTAGAGAAAATATATATGATTATCTTCATAGACACTGAAAAAAACCTATAACATTCAACATCTCACTTTATTAAAATACTTAATCAAATAGGAATTGAGTGATACTTTTTTGGGGGGGAGGAATACCAGGGATTAAACTCAGGAGCACTCATCCACTGAGCCACATCCCCAGCCCTATTTTGTATTTTATTTAGAGACAGGGTCTCACTGAGTTGCTTAGTGCCTCACTTTTGCTGAGGCTGGTTTTCAACTTGGGATCCTCCTGCCTCAGCCTCCCAAGGCGCAGGCATGTGCCACTATGCTTGTGAGTGATACTTTCTTAATATGAATAGATATAAATATTATGTGCTAGATATGGAATAATGCTAATGAAACTGGTAATTAGCTAGATAGATGAGACATTTCTAATGCCAGTGTCTTTTTTTTATTATTTGTTATTTTTAGTTATATATGACAGTAGAATGCATTTTGACATATCATAAACACTTAGAGTATAACTTCCCATTCTTGTGGTTGGACATGATGTGGAGTTATACTGGCTGTGTGTTCATACATGAACATCGGAAAGTCATATCAATTCATTCTACTGTCTTTCCCATTTCCATCCCCCACCCTTCTGCCCAATCCCATGAGCCTCCACTCCACACACACACACACACACACACACACACGTACTGCCTATTGTGAGTCAGCATCCCCATATCAGAGGGAACATTTGGCCTTTGGTTTTTTGGGATTGCTAATGCCAGTATCTTCCTAAAAGCAGAAATGCTGGAAACATATCACCAAGTTCAGGAACAAGGCAAGGATACCCACTATTTCTGCTACTATTCAAGGTATTAGCCAATGCAATTAGACAAGAGAAATAATGTACAAGCACCAGAACTGGTAAAGAAACTGTAAATCTATATAAGCATATAATATGAAAGCTGACTTGTAAAACCCAAGGGAATCAGTGATAGAACTAATTCAAATAATATTTCAATTATGTTGACAGGATATCAACTTGGTACTCAGAAACCAAACTTGCTGGTTGGGGTGGTGCATGTCTATTATCCCAGCAGCTCAGAAGGCTGAGGCAGGAGGATCTCAAGTTTGAGTCCAGCCTCAGCAACTTAGTGAGACCCTATCTGAAAATAAAAAAAAATATTTTAAAAAAAGGAAAACCTGATGTTGCTAATGTTTCTCAAGTTGGGTGTTTCTTTTAGTAGTCCACTCTGTTGCTTACGTACACTTGGTATAAATCATTTCATACGTAGCAAATATTTCATATTGTATCTGTATATATTTTTATTCATTTATTTTAAACTGACAAGATTTTATGCATTTATCCTGAACAATATAAGGATGTGTAGTACATATGCATTGACTATTTCATAGTTCTATTTTTTTTAAGAATAAATAAAATTACATTTATTTGGGGCTAATTAGGATTGCAATCCAGGTGCCAGGCAAGGTGGTGCACACCTGTGATCCCAGTGGGCTGGGAGGCTGAGGCAGGAGAATCACAAGTTCAAAGCCAGCCTCAGCAATTTAGGTGAGACCCTAAGCAACTTAGCAGAGACCCTGTCTCAAAATAGAAAATAAAAAGGGCTGGAGATGAGGCTCAGAGGTTAAGTGCTTCTGGTTTCAATCCCTGGTACCAAATAAATAAATAAAGTTCAGACAGGGTCTCACTAATTTTTAGCTGAGGGGCCCACTAAGTTGCTGAGGCTGGCCTCGAACTTGCGATCCTCCTGCCTCAGCCTCATGAGCTGCTGGGATGACAAGCACACACCACTGTGCCCAGATCCAAGCTTGTTTGTTGGTTTTTAATATTTCATAATTTTAAAAAGTGATCTCACGGTGCTGCCCCTAAACCTGCTGGATCCCCCAGCCTGGAGAACCACTGTACCTTTTGTATCTAAGGAGGGGGG